AAAAAAATCACGAGGATAAAAAAAAAGAAAGAGTAGAAGAAAAAAAAAAATTAATCGCGGGCTAAATAATAGAAAAACACAAACGATAGAAATTGTGGTTGAAACAGAGTACACGAAGTGAAGAACAAAATCGCAGGTATTACAATTTCTTAACTGTGAATACAAACTAATTTGTTCATCAATATCCTGTATCATAATATGTGAAATCAAATTGATTGTCATCATTACCTTACGTCAAGTGTCTTCATACAAAATAATTTTATGATTAATATAATATATTAACTAATTTAATATACTAATTCAAGAATTAAAGTTTGACCTTGACACAAACTGCTGTATGTATCTTACAGCAAATTACTTGGAACAAAATTATTTGCAATGACATACTTGATGAGTGTATTCTTGTTAAGTGTGTCTGGTTTTAACATAAATAAATTGTTATTTGATTTGAACTTTATATTGTAGGAATGGATGTGGAACAACTCGATACATCAATTGTTCCGCAAGTTTCTATGGGTGTTCCACCAAAAGTTGGTCAAGAGTTTCAATCACTTGAGGATGCCTATAATTTTTATAATAGTTATGCAAGACAAACAGGATTTAGTGTACGAATTGCCAACAAAAAGAAGATAAAAGAAACAAATGAGGAAGTTTGGAAGATGTATGCATGCAGTAAAGAATGAAAGATGGATGAAACTTGGCAGACTAAGAAGAAAAATATTGCGGCTGGATCAGGGGAGAGAAAGCGTGGGCATACTCGATGTGGCTGTCAAGCTAAAATGAGTATTAAAAAATCACAAAATAAGGGTGTGTGGATCGTTAGTTGTTTTATTGAGAATCATAACCATCCCCTTACGACTCCGAGTAAAGTTCACCTACTAAATTCGCATAGGAATGTCTCAGCAACTAAGAAAGCTCTAGTACAAAAATTTTCAGAAGCTAATATTCCTACCTGTCAGCAGGTGAGATTGTTTTAGATAGAAGCTGGAGGTCCATCATTGATTGGTTGCCTAGAGAAGGACATTAGGAACTACAAAAGAGACATTCAAAGTGAGTTATATGGCCATGACGCTGAAACATTGATCCAACACTTTGAAATGGAGAAACAGAGAAATGAAAATTTTTTCTTTGCTTATGAGACAGATGATGTTGGTGTTTTAGTTAGATGTTTTTGGGCTGATTCTGTGTCCATAAATGCATATGCACTTTTTGGTGATGCGGTGGTGTTTGATACTACTTATAATACAAATAAGTGTAGTATGGTATTTGGGCCCTTTGTAGGAGTCAACCACCACCGACAAACCACTGTTTTTGGGTGTGGATTGTTGAGCGATGAGAAGACGGAATCTTTTATTTGGTTATTTTTGAAGTTCTTGGAATGTGTGCCAACCCATGCAGCTCCTAGTGTAATTATTACTGACCAAGATGCTGCTATATCCTGAGCAATCGCAGAGATATTTCCAAACACATTACACCGATATTGTCTGTGGCATATACTTAACAAATTTTTCGACAAGTTAAGTATTTTATTGTACAAAGAACAATACCACAAGATAGTTGGCATTATAAAAGAGTCAGAATCAAGTAAAGAGTTTGAAGATAGATGGCTGGATTTGATGAGTTCAACCGAGTTGAGGAATAATGAATGGTTGGGCAATATGTACATGATGCCACATCCTTGGGTTCCTGCCTATGTTAAGCACGTCTTTCCTGCAGGTATGTCTAGTAGCCAGAGAGTGGAGAGTAATCATTCATTTTTTAAGCGCTATGTGAATCAAAAGAATTCCTTGGTGGATTTTATTACACGTTTTAATAGGGCGCTATATCACCAAGGCATGATGAGTTAGTTGCAAATCACATTGATCTCAATGAACTGCCACGAATGGTTACAACATTTCTTATGGAACAACAGATGGCCTCAATTTATACGAAGACGATATTCGTTCTCTTTCAAAAAGAGTTGCAACAAAGTTTGGCCTATGTTTGCACTCAAGTTTCAAGCACTGGCACAACTCTAGTACACAAAGTTAAAAGATTTGAGAGAGAAAAGATATTTGATCGAGAACGCGATTTGGTATATGATACTTTGTCTGACTTTGTGTCATGTAGTTGTAAGTGTTTTGAGTTTGAGGGATATCCATGTCGTCATATGCTTTGTTGGATGAAAGTTACACAAGTCATGTTGTTGCCCGAAAAATATATGCTCTCGAGATGGACTATGAAAGAAAAATCTATTGTGGCATTTGAGCCTACACCAAAACTCACGGAAGGACAGTCTTTCATATCAAGACGTGGGGTGTTAACTCATATTGCAATGGAGTTAGTTGACAATTGCTCTTTAACTGAGGCTCGTAGTAATTTTCGGATGGAAGAACTACGAAATTTGAAGTTAAAGACAAATGATATCAATGGTGAGAACAACACTACTAGGCAAATAAATAAGAACAGAAGTTGTGAGTTTACACAAGTCATCCAAGACCCACACCCAGTTCGGGCTAAAGGATGTGGTAAATGACTCAAATCGTCAAAAGAGAAGGCCATGTCGAAAAGTACCAGACATTGTGGTGTTTGTAACCATAGTGGTCATGATAAGCTAACTTGTCCTAGCTTACATCATAAGTATGGTATTTTTTAAATTTCTTTCTAATGCGTGAATTCTTAATTCTTTAAGCTAACTTAAATTGTTTCTTTTGCAGGACCACTGCTTGACGAGCTATATCATCCGAAATTTGCTTTTCATGATACACACGATGATCCGTACAATGATTTAGTGCAAGATTGATCGAATCGTCTTCAATTATCCTCTCGTCCTTGAGTCTTCTGTCTTCGAGAAAAAAGACATGATTCCCCTATGAAGTCAATTGGTTATGCCGTCAAGACCTCTTTTTATTTTGTTCTAATCCCAGTAGAAGAAGATCAAGGAAGACCAAGTCCTAGTTAGTTTTATTAATATTAATGATTTAATAATATTAATCTAGGGTGTAAGGTAACTGGTAGTATTTCATTTTGTCTTAGCAATTTCGTTTTTTAAGTATATTTCGTTATTTCTTACGTTCGGAACTCTATCTCTTGTCCGGTGTTCTGTTTTTCAACTGTGTTAGTTTGCTTTCTGTTTTTTTTTATATATTGTTTATATTTATATTTAATTAAATTTAGTTTTTTTATTTGCCAATATTATATGTGTGTTCTTGTGCAACTATGTTTTTGTTTTTCTAGTCAGTAATTTTTATTTGTTGTGTACCTAAATCATCTATTTGGTGTGTTTTATTTTCTCTTTTTTTCTTCTTCTTTTTTCATGTTCTGACAATTTTATTATAATGTTACAACTGATGTGTTGTTATTTTCCCCATCAGATGTGATATAGCCATATTATCATAAACCGGTTCTAGAACTCTCTACTCGACCAGATAACAACTTAGACGTCCACATGACGATATGTTCCCATAGACATACTCAAGTCGACTTCCGTAAAGTCGACCCTCCATAATATGACCGCGAAGAGAAGGCGGAAACCGTGCCAGTCGACTCTCGGAGGTCGACCTCAATCTGTTGACTTCCAATAGTCGACATCTACCTAAGAAGAACAACAAGAGCGTAGCCTCCGAGCATTCAGATACCCTAAGTCGACTCCCGGAAGTCGACTTCACGAAGTCGATTCTCTAAAGTCGACTCCCACTCGAGAGAACTAACCAAGTGTAGCCTCCGAATCCTCATATGATCATGAGTCGGCCTCCTAGCTCTCGAGGCCGACTCTTTATGCCTCGAAGACCAAAAATGTGATGACGACTCATCACACTAACAGCATACTTAAAGCTCTACATCCTTCAAGAGAAAAGGGAAATCTTGCGATGACTCAGCAGCAAGAGGAGACGAACCGACCGGGGCATTTTGGACCCTTTACGTAAGTCAGCCGGGGTATTTTGGGGACTTCGAGTAAGTATCTCCTCCTATATAAAGGAGGTGAGGTAACCCTAAACCCTAACTCTCATTCATTCTCCACTCTCCCTCATAGCTGCTGCGCAGCCTCTCTTCATCTCTCACATATTGACTTGAGCGTCGGAGGCTCTACGCCGGAAACACCTCTGGCGTTGAGTTTTGCAGGTATTATCGCGGTCTAGCAACGGTTCGAAGGCGATTCAAACAGATCTTAGCTCCTTACCACCGGTTCACTCTAGATCTGGGAGTAGACCCATCATATTGGCGCCGTCTGTGGGGACGTTCTTAAGGGAAACAAGAGCTTTGCACCTAGCTCCGATCTGTTTTTGATGGCTGAGAAGGAAGGTTTGCAGAGGAACTTAAATATGGAGTTTAGGGAAGCTTGGACAGACATGAGACCATCACCCCTCTCTACCCATCGACCTCCAGTGGTGCAGATGCGGGGACTACCGCCATTTGGGGGACTTCCGCCGCCTGGGATGAATCTGAGTGGAGAAACGCCCGTTACTCTACCCGGGATGAAGGTGCAAGTGTTGACCCAAGTAGGAACAAGTCATAACCCTAATCCAAATGTTGGAGGAAAAGAGCTAACAGAGATGTCTCAACGCGAGGGAAAACAGATCCAAGAGGTGCCGGAGCAGACACAAACACAATCTCGCGTCGAGGAGCAAACCCTAACGATGACGAGGAGCGAGATGCATAAGGTGATCGCTGAAGCTGTGGCCGCCCAGATGAAGCAAGTGGTCCAGTTCGAGCAGAATCTGTGGGTCGAGCAGAACCTTCATGTCGAGCAGAACCCGGGGGTCGAGCAACAGCCTCGCATCGAGCAGCAGACCCAATCGAATGTGCAGCAGAACATACGGGCGGACGAGGAGGAATCCTCTATTCGAACTGTCAACCCGCAGGCGAGGGATGAGACGTTGGAACAATTGCTGGCCCTGGTCCGCGACTTGCAGGCTCGAGTCTGGGGGAGGAAGAGCAGAGGGGCGAAGGAACACCCATTCTCACAGCAAATCCTGAGAGCCGACTTACCTAAGGCTTCAGGGAGTTGAACATATGGTACGATGGCTCCACTGACCCGTCTCGACATCTGAGGTGTTTTGAGAACATGGCAGTGTTTCACCACTACAGTGACCCGGTGCAGTGTCGCGCTTTCCTAACGACTTTGACAGGGTCGGCCCAGGACTGGTTCCACCAATTACCAGCTGGGTCGATTAAGGACTTTGATGGTTTCAGCTTGAGCTTTCTAAATCAGTTTGCAAGCGTCAGGGTGCAGAAGAAGTCCTACCTCTCGTTGATCAATATGCAGCAAAAGAAGGGCGAGTCGCTGCGAGAGTATGTGGCAAGGTTTACAAGGGCGTGTGTCGAGTGCCCGATAGCGACAAAGGAAATCAAATAGGGAGGACTGACGAGGGGACTGCTACCAGGTTTGTGCAAGAATTCTTTGGCCAAGCGACCTGGTAGGAGCTTCGACGATGTATTGGGAAGGTGTGGTAAATACATGAATGTCGAAGAAGTGGAGATCGAATACACAAAGAATAAAGATGTCCCAGACCGAGGGTCGAGATGACAAGAAGGAGAAGAAGACTCATTCGACTGGGGAAAGGAGAGGATCACCACGAGCTGATAGGGGTGAGGGACGATCTAGGGGATGGAGGCCGATTCAATACACACCTCTGTCGGCTCCCCATGCGAGAATACTGGAAGTAATGTAAAGAGAGATCTGGGACGACGTGGTGAGATGGCCGCGGACGAGAAAGGATGGACCAGTGAAGCCCAAAAGTAACTTGTACTATCGATCTCACAAAGATTATGGGCACAACACTGATGATTGCAGACATCTTAAAGACAAAATCAAGAGGCTGATAAAGGCAGGTCATCTGAAGGAATTCATATACAAAGAAGCAAAATCCCTCGCAAGAGGGCAAGATCACCAGAGAAGGAGGAACTCCCACCGAAACGAGGGTAATTAACATGATTTTTGGAGGGTCGACAGATGGGGACTCCAATCGAGCGAGGAAGGCGTATGCTCGAGGCCGATATGCAAAAGTCGAGGTACAGCAGGTCGATGAGAGTGGACCAGTGATGAACTTTGGACCTGCCGATGTGAGGGAAGTCGAGAGACCACACAATGATGCTCTAATGATAACCGCACAGATATCAGGGTACGAAGTGCAAAGGGTGTTTGTCGACACAGGAAGCTCAGTGAACGTGATTTTTTATGAATGTCTTAGAAGGATGGAACTCGACATTGAGCTTACACCCCTACACACGTCACTCTTTGGATTCAATGGATTAGAAGTCGCTTCCCTGGGAGAAACCACGCTCGTTGTCGTCCTAGAGGAGGGTGACTTGAGGAAGGTGAAGATGGTAAGGTTTGTGGTGGTTGACGTCAAGTCGGCGTATAATGTGATCCTTGGGAGGCCGGCATTCAATGTTTCCAAGCAGTGGTGTCAACTTACCACATGAAACTGAAGTTCCCCATTGGAGATCGAGTGGGAGAGGCTCGAGGGGACCAGAAGTTGTCAAGAACATGCTATCAGATCGCGGTACAAACTAACCAACGAGCGGAGATCAAGGAGGGAAAGAAACCAATGTCGAGCGAAAAAAGGCCGAGGGGGATAGCCCCACGGAGAATTGATGGAGATCCAAATTGGTGAAAGGGAGGACCAAACCACGAAATTCGGGAGAGAATGAGTTGCGAAAACAGTTGATAGAATTGTTAAAAGAATTTAGGGACATCTTTGCTTTTTCCCCTGAAGAGCTGACAGGAATCAACCCAGAAGTCATGGAACACAAACTCAATGTCGACCCCCTTAGAAAGCCTGTGAAGCAGCGACTTAGACACCATGGTGCTGCGACAAAGCAATTGAAGTCGAGGTGGAAGGGTTGCTGAAAGTCAAACACATCAAAGAAATCCAATTCCCTAAATGGATATCCAACACGGTGATGGTGAGGAAGGCACTAAACAAATGGCGCATGTGCATCGATTTTCGCGACTTGAACCTGGCGTGCCCAGAAGATCACTATCCCTTGCCAAGAATTGATCAGCTAGTCGACTCCACGGCTGGCTGCGAGTTGCTGAGCATGATGGGCCCTTCTCAAGGGTACCACCAGATTCCCTTGGCCCCTAAGGATCAAAGTAAAGTAAGCTTCGTGACGAGCAAGGGGACATACTGCTATGTCGTCATGCCCTTTGGCCTCAAAAATACATGAGCAACTTACCAACAATTGATGGATCGCATGTTCAAACCTCAGATTGATCGAAATATGGAAGTTTACGTTGATGATATCTTGATGAAAAGCAAGTCCTCGACTTCACACCCAGACGACTTAAGGGAAACATTCAAAACCCTTAGAACGTTTGGGATAAAGCTGAACCCGAGCAAGTGCCCCTTTGGAGTAAGGGTGGGACGATTTCTAGGATACGTCATCACAAAATGAGGAATCGAGGTGAACAAAGATAAGGTGAAGGCCATACTCGACATGTCCCCACTGCAAAACATCAGAGAAGTACAAGTTCTGACGGGGAGGATTGTGGGGTTGAGCAGGTTCATTGCTCGAGCGGCTGAGAGGAGTTTCTCTTTTTTTCAAATTACTCAAGAAGAAGACGGTTTTCAAATGAAGTGACGAGGCGCAGATGGCCTTTGAAAAATTGAAGGAGTTTCTGAGCGAGTTGCCCTTGCTGACCAAACCAGAACCAGGTGACGAATTGATATTGTACATCTCGATAGGGGAGTTTGCTTTAAGTTCAGTGTTACTACGAGAAGATGGAAGTTCCCAACAACCAATCGATTACACAAGTCGAGTACTCCAAGGTGCGGAGACAATATACCCCGAAGTCGAGAAAGCCGCCCTGACGCTGGTCATAACGGCCAGAAAATTGAGGCCATATTTTCTAAATCATACGATAGTTGTGAGAACAAACTTCCAGTTGGGAGAAACATTGGGTCGACCTACTGTCTCAGGTCGACTAGTGAAGTGGGCAGTCGAGCTGAGT